TATATATATATATATATATAGAGAGAGAGAGAGAGAGACAGAGAGAGAGAGAGAGAAAGAGAAAAAGAGAGGTGGAAACTGACACAGAGACTTAGGTACACAGATAGATAGATAGATAGATAGATAGATAGATAGATAGATAGATAGATAGATAGATAGATAGATTTGTGCACATTTCCGAATCTATATAGTGAGTGAGCTGGAAAGAGAATAACCTGCCTCGCAGAATAACGCGAATAACATAGACGTATTTACGCGCAGACTAGATTACGCATACACATATGGATTACACACACGCACACACACACACACACACACAAACTCACACATGTACACAGATATTATTATAACAAAGTGCAAAGATATTTCTACGATCTAATCTATGACAGTCTGCATTTTAGATGTTCATACGTGTATTTGTGTAAGTGAAAATATCTTCCCTGGTTACGATAAGCGATAATCGAAAGCCCTTGCAAATCGAATTTAGGTTTTTCATCCGTCAATTGGTCAGTCAAGAAATATGACACGTTAAATAGAAAGCATGAAAAAAAAAAAGATTATCAAAAGAACAATTTGTACCTTTTTTCTCTCCCTCTTTCTTTCTCCTCACTCTTTATATACATGTGTGTGTGTGTGTGTGTGTGTGTGTGTGTGTGTGTGTGTGTGTGTGTAACATGTGAAATTGTTAGAAACGTCTGTAAAAAACTTACTATATAGATAAAATAGGATTTGGTAAAACATTTAATATTTAAAATTGTTTTACATCCATATGGATTTTCAGAAAAACATATTTTATATTAACCATTTTCTCTTTTAGCTTTTCGAATAGTTTGTAAAACGTTTATATTCCAATGTTTTGACGCTTGAGTTTTGAACAAATTAAAAGTTCAAGGGTCGGAACTGGCTTTATATATCGCTTATGGGAAGGGGAATATGATAGAATCTGTTATAAGAGTTGTGTCTCAAAATAGATTCTACCGTATTTTTTCCTGTGGCAAAATATTTACCTGTAGCAAAATCTGAGATAATATTTTGAAAGCTTATATTTCAGTTATGTAATAAATATATTTTGATGAATCGATTTAAAGTCGAGTTCATTAAATTCACTTCCGTGCTAATACACTTGGGAAAGATATGAATCCAACACTTCTACCCCCAGCTATAGGTAAAAAGCAGGACAGACTGGGTCCTTTAGCCATGGATGGCGAACAATATAAATGAAGACAACTCTGAATTCTAAACCTGCGGAGGGACCTTTGGGAATCTGGTGACATATTTTGCATCAGTTCTCTGTATTCAGCTCTTTCAAAAAGCGTGGTTCGTTTTGCACAAGCGTTCATAATTGTAATCAAATGATATGTGCGAATAGTTTGGCTGTTAGATCTAAGAATTTAGCTGCTTGACACTCATACGTCGAAAACAACGGGTGTCTATATATATATATATATATATATATATATATATATATATATATATATATATATATATATAAGAAGAAGAGAGAAACCGCATGTTTTTGGTTGAAATGAGGATTTTTTAAAAAAAGATATTACGCTCATAATTCAATATATATTAAAAAAATAAATAAATAAAAACCCAAAAAACCCCAAAAGTACAACCAAAAACGTTTGCAGTTTATCTCTTCTTTTTTAGTATATACTTTTTCTCTCATTGGGACAAATATAACCTCTTCCCTTCATATTATATATATATATATATATATATATATATATATATATATATATATATATATATCAAGCTTTTCTCTGCTCTATATGGATTTCTATAGAAAGTTTTTAAACGAATTATATTTCTCAATTCCATCAGTTCTATCCTTCACGGTAAAGACCGATCATGCCCCGCACATTGTAGTGAACCACCGTCATTCCCTTCGTATTTCATTGGTGAGCGCATCTTCTACCCGTGAAACACTGCTTTGTGCAATCAGCTCCCAAGAATATGCTTCCCCATCACAACAATCTTAATCTCTTCATGTCTATGGTTACTCGCCATTTTCACCATATATTCGCATAAACAGAGACTTTTTCTGTAGCCTTCTAACTCGAGTGGCTCCCAGGCCTTTTACAGGTTGAACATCATGGAAAAAAGTAATCAAGAACAGTTTTAGGAAAAGCTATGACAACGGGGAAATAGTTTTCGTATGATGCATTTCGACCTTTAGGATTCCATCGGCCTATAGGAATCTTTACGTTGATGTGACTGCGCGTGATCTCAAATGAGAAGGGACACTGAGAATTTTAAATTGAAATCTAAAGTTTTTTTTATTCATATATATATATATATATATATTGAGAGAGAGAGTGAGAGGGAGACATCCACAGACAGAACGTTTCGTTGTATCACAGCTCTTCAGTGTGGCTAGACATCAGTCATATACTTTAAATCTAGGCCGTCGTCGCACGGCAGAAAGGAAGGGTAATTGTAACTTCTCTATACAAAATACGTCAGCGGCTCGGAGAACTCAATCCCTACTTGAAGATTAATGCGTAAATGCAGTAGAAGTCGCTGTTTAAAAAAAAAAAAAATTCTCTAGAGAGATTAACCGGACTTCCGGGACATATATATAATTATATATATATATATATATATATATATATATATATATATATAGAGAGAGAGAGGGAGAGAGATAGATAGATAGATAGATAGATAGATAGATAGATAGATAGATAGATAGATGTTATCAATTTGGGACAAGTAGGAATAATTCTAAGGAGAATATTGATTTTGACGGAGCTCAATGTAAATTACAGAGCATTGTAATAATAATAAATCAAGAAGAAAACCTGTAAAATCTATTTCGGTTATAATTTATTTCCTGAATATTTCTATATATTCATCTCTTCACTCCGATATTTCTTCGGACTTTCGGCCTGAAAATATAAATATATTGAAATATTCACGCAAGAAATTATAACCGAAGTGGATCATTAAGGTTTTCTTCTTACATTTATTATATACTATCAGTCTACACCCGCTCGCTCTCACTTCGCATAGTAAGATATATTCACTACTTGAAATCTTTGAAGCAAAAATTTTAAATGAACATTTCATTCATAAATTGGCGTGTTATAGTTAAAGAAATTTTTACAAATAGATGCCAACTTGTTGAAGGTCAAGTAAAATGCAAAATTCAAACACTTTTCTGTACTATATATGATAGTATTCCAAAAGAGAACTATTTTTTTATAGGAAAATCAAAACAATCCTTGAATAAACAAATACTAATGCAAGACAGTTAATTAATGAAATATACTTTTTTTTAAATCAATATGCAAGCAAGTGAAATCTGAAGTGTGATATCCCCTAAAAGTAGATTATATATAATACAGATATTGAACTTTTAGAGGATAAATTACTAAAAATGTAGAGCTTTTTAACCGCAAAATTCGTTGGATAATTATCCTCCAAATTTCGCATTTATTCCTATAGATTCCATAATATAGCTATTATGTTTCTCTAACTCTTCAAATGTTGAATGTATAACTAATTCTAATTTCTATTTTCCCATCTTTGCACTATATTAATTTTATCTTATAAAATGCCCCCTGTTCTGTTACCCATGAAATAAAAATAATAGTTTGTACCTAAATTGAGGGTCTACGTACATGAAATCGTCTTTTAATTAAGTGGCAGCAGAAGAATTATCGTTAAACTTTTAAAAGGTTAGCTTAAACATTAATTTAATACTTAAATGCAGCAATTAGATCTGAGTTCTTCTGTAGTTTATTGATGGCTATCGCATCTACTCCTCCCTAGTTTAAATGCCGCCCGAGTAGGTGGCTTTTAAGCTAGTATATCATAAAACGGAGACAGCAATTTTGGATACAAAACGAAAATAATAATTGCTCCCCTTGAAGCATAAAAGCAACGATAATGTCTAGTATAATATATTAATATATATTATTAACCTCGCGTAATATGCCAACTCGGTATCTGAGTTCAGTGAATATTGTTCCCTTCGCATAACTTTTCTCGGGCTTTTGAATGAGCTATGAATCATTGAAATTAGACCAGTGAAAGCAGAGTTGTAGCACGTACGCACAAACAGACACATACATTGTACTTTATATATATATATATATATATATATATATATATATATATATATATATATATATATATAATAAAAAAAAAAAAAGAACAGTAAGATATATAATCCAGTGTTCTTATAGATATTTTATATTTACAAAATAGTGCACAATGTAAATTTACAGAGCATTAGTATTTTAATTAACTGAATTAAAATATGGTTTTTCGCTACACAGTTCTAACCATGTTTAAAAATTTTGAAACATGGTTAGAACTGTAAAGAAAAAAAACTTTTAAATCAGTTAATTTATAATATATATATATATATATATATATATATATATATATATATATATATATATATATATATATATATATATATATGTATATATACACAGAGAAAGAGATTAACAAAGAAAAAAAAAAAACTATTCACGTCTAAGCATTTTTGTTTTACCTGGACTTTTTTAACTTCGGACACATGTGTCCGATTTCCCATGTATATATATAAAAAAATATTTATATTTTATTTTTATGAGTTACAGGACAAATATATTCTGACTCCATGAAAATGTAGGCAAATATATATGCAGATAATTTAAATAATTGTCTGAAAAACATGCCATCAGTTGAATTGAATTTTTTTTTTCTCTTCTATTCTCTCCAGTTACGCGAGCTTACTGAAGGCATTACTTAGGGTGATTTTTTTTTTCTTCTAAATATACCTGTATAAAAATTACTCGGGGATGTTATTTCCTTTTTTGACATCTGAAACGGACGAGATATAAAGTCAATATTATCTTGGTTTCCTTCCGTTGTCTTCCAATTACTTTACTATGATTATTTTTTTGTCATTTATTATTCCATTTTTTTTTCTGTATCGCTGTTCCTTTTTCCGGATATTTTCTTCCCTCGTGTCTATTTTCTAGTCAACTGTGGATATAATTATGGCTTCTTCATTTTATGCTCATATTTTGTCTTTCTTTTTTTTTCTTTCAATATTATCCTCTTTCGTTCTTTTTACGCTATCTTTCGCTGCCATGTTTATTTTTCTTATTTCTCTTTCTCTATTTCGTTCAACTTCACGCCTTTCTTACGGTTATTCATTCTCTTCATTCAATAAATTGTTTTCTTCTTTCTCTTTATTATTGTTCTCTCTTAAATTCTTTCCTTCTTTTCTTTTATTTTGTTTCTTTCACTTTTTCTGTTATCAGGATTTCAGAAAATCGTTTTCTGATTCCCCTCGTTGTCATCAGTTGTATTTCTTCTTTTCTCTTCGTTTTTCTTTTCCTTCTTTCTTTCATTTTTTTTTCTATTTTGTTGTTCTCCTTTCTATTTTTCTTTCTTTCTTTTATTATCGTCGTCTTAATTTTCATTGTATTATTATTTATTTGTTCCTTCTTTTGTTCGTATTTTTTTATTCTTTGTTCTTACTCTTTTCTCAGGCTTTTGTTTTTCTTCTTTTGTTATGTTTGCTTCTTTTTCTTTCTTTTTTTCTTCGTTGGCTTTCTTTCTTTCTTTCTATCATCCTTTCTCGCTTTCTTTCTTTCTTTTTTTCTTTCTTTCTTTCTTTGTCTCCCTTTTTCTTTTTGCAGTTCTGTTCATTTTCTATTAACTGCCTTCTTTCTTTCTTTATTTCTTTCTTTATTTCTTTCTTTCTTTATTTCTTTCTTTCTTTCTAATCTCTTAGTATTTCCCCTTCCTCTTTCTTTATTCCTCATTTCTTTCTTTGTTAAAATCTATTAAGCTCACATCCCCTTTCTTTCTTTCTTTCTTTCTTTATTACTTTCTTTCTTTCTTTCTTTTCTTTCTTTCTTTCTTTTTAATCTCTTAGTATTTCCCTTCCTCTTTCTTTTTTATTCTTCATTTCTTTCTTTGTTAAAATCTATTAAGCTCACATCCCCTTTCTTTCTTTCTTTCTTTCTTTCTTTCTTTCTTTCTTTCTTTCTTTCTTTCTTTCTTTGTTTGCTCGTTCTTCTGTTTACCTCATTTACATTTTTGCCACACGGACAATTCCTCTGATTTCTTGTTATTTTTTTCTTTTATCCTTTTTCATTCAATTGTTCCCTTCATTTTTTTTTTTCGTTGA